TACAGGCCAGGCAACGGGGTGATTTCATCACCTCCAGTCACCCAGCCTCAGAGCCGGAGATCTCTGCAGCCGATCCTGTCACAGCTGAGAGGAGGACCACGCTGGGCAGTGACAGCACAGCTCTCCCTGGCTGGGTGACCTCACTTCAGTTCCAGGAGGCACCACCACAGGGCCCCACCTCTACCCAGTGGGTACCTGCCTCCACCCTCTTCCCCTCCCACCCACCCAGGGGCTACACGGGACACCTGTGCCTTCTGAGCTGTGCTGTCAGCCCCTCCTCACCCCTTCCACCACCCCCCTCCCCCCCGTGGCTGTCAAGATTGCAGACTGCAGCTGCCAGCTTGACCATTCTGTCTGTTTCCTCATCTTAGAAATGGGCTTCTCAGATCATCCCCCGAGGGTCATAGTGAGCATTCCCTGAGCAATGGCCCCTGAAAGCTTGGTGAGGGACTCTCCCATGAGCCCTTTTCTGCGTCCAGGCTGGCCTGGCCTCGCTGCTCCTGACCTGTAGTCCGGTTGCCACATAGGGCTCCTGGCCCCACTGCCCGCCTCTCCCCACCCCTGCCAGACTGTGAGAGCTGCTGGTCAAGCCTGGGCCCTGCTTCAGGCTGCAGCTCCTGCCCTGCCCCCCGAGGCCCGCACAGGGTCGCTTCCTGTGTCCCACCAGGCTGCACAGCTCTGTGATGCATCCTGGAGAGCACTTACCGGTCCCCGTGGTCCGAGTGGCACGCGGCCCCCACGCTGGCCAGCAGCGTCCTGCATTGCGCCAGCACCGAGCAGCCTGAGGAGACAGAGCACAGGTCCCATGAGGCTGAGGGTCCTGGCGGGGCCCCTCCCTGTGCCCCCCACCCAACCCAGCAGAGGTGAGAGAAACCGCAGGGGGACCAGGCATCCTCTCCCTGGCTGTGGAGAAGCAGGCATTGCTCTGCTCATAAAACCGTCCTCAGAAATGTCGTTTCCCACCATGCCTAGTAAGACACCGGGATTCTGATTAGTGGCCGCACTTAGTAAGTTGTTGTCCTGGCAATAAGTTAGACTTAACCTGCGTTTTCTAAAGGTAAGACACTAGGCAGCTGCCTTCATGAAGCCCGAGGCCCCCCTCTTCTTCCACAGGCGGAGACGACAAGAGTAACAAGAATCTCTGTTCCGCTCACATTAACACAGGTTGTCAGTGATACAAAGTCTGCCCGGGAGAAGCGGGAAAGGAGACAGGAACAGAGCTTCCCACAGTGACCAAGCCTGGAGAGGCAGCCACACGCCCGTCTGCCCCGCCCCACTGAGAAGGCAGCCCAGCCCAGGGTCTCATTAACACAGCCGCGATGCTGCCCGTTCTCTGTGACCCAGGACGACAAAGCAGCAAGGACCTCTCTTCCCAAGAAGCGAATGTGCGCTGTAGCTGTGGCTCCCTCGGGCCCGCCCCCTCCCCCAGTGAAGCACAGCAGGTCACCCCGGACTGGCGCAGGGACTCAGGACAGCTATGTTCCCTGAATGGGCAGCGTCTCAAGAACAAGGGAAACCCCTGGGTTTGCACTTTTCCCTACTCACAGCCAGTTTTTAAAGGTGATCTACTCTCCCTCACCTTCATAAAATATCTTGTAAAATTTGCTGGCAAAAAAGGATCAACTAGCCTAAAACATAGTTCATTTTATCTCCTTCCCGAACTGCTTTCAGCTGGGCATGAAGACTGCTGAGCACCGCACGCCCTCCTCCTGGGCCTGGAGCGCCAAGCAGTCAGGGAGGCAGGACAGTGACAGCCCAGGCCACCTGGGACAGGACAGCCGCCGTGCCCTAAGCAAGCGGCCCACAGCCCAGCCCAGCCCAGCCCCCGTGTCCTGGAGACCAGGAGGCTGTCATCACCTTGGAGCTGGGGTCCCCGGAAGGAGAAGTTACACGTGTTGGAGAGCCGCTCAGTCCCGGGAAACTGGCTGTTCAGGTGGATTTTCTTCTCACCGAATTCAGCCTGGAGATCGATGAAATGTTCAGTTGTTCAGTGATGGCTTCAAAGTTCCGTCCCGCGCCCCCTGCCCCCCAACCACCTGCTTGACCTTTAGACTTTCCTGGGAAACAAAACCTCAACCTCAACACATCAAATCATTCTCACTGGGAAGCACCTACCTAGACTGGCTATGGAAGCAAAGCCAGCAAGGAGATAAAGTCCTGACACACACGAACCTTCTACACTCGTCACTAACGGCACCATCTCTGGTGCGTCTGTCTTGAGTCTGGAAAACAACCCACTGCTGGGTCCCTCTCTGGGGCTCTGACTCTGGCTCCTGTCTCATGACCTACTCCCGGGGCTGAGAGTCCCCGTCCTCATCGCCCACGGGCAGGAGACGAGGCCCAAAAGACACCCGCTCCCCTGGGCTGACGGGATGCTCACCACCAGCCTCTCCTCCAGGTAGTCGCGGACGTCCCTCATGTGGGCCTCGTAAGCCTCGCAGTTCTCTGCCACCAGCTCAGCAGCCTAGGGACATGGATGATGTCCACTTATTGTAACACAAAGGACCACAAAGCTTTACGGAGCAGAGGGATGATTGCTGGTGACTGACGGGGCATTTCCTCAAACTGCTCGTTTCTGGAACAGCAGACAGTACTCGTGGGCTGACTGGCTGTTGACGTAAGTGCCTGGAGTGTCACCGCACTTGATCCACAGGAATTTACTTGACCAGGCACCTCCTGAAACTGCCATGCACCAGAGCTGCCGCAGCCCATAGGGCAGGAAGAACGTCAGCCCTCACAGCATGTCCTACTGTTCCAGAGGAGGGACGGACGGACACACAGGGACAGGTGGGCAGGGGCGTGGCGATGGCACACAGAGTCGGGAAGGGGCAGCCACCAAGGTCCAAGGCCAGGGGAAGGGTGAGTGCTCCCGGAGCAGAGTGAGTGGTGTCAGG